CATCTGCCAGAGATTTTACAAATTTTACAATATAATGCGCCCTCTATCTCCTTATGAGTTTTGTTTTCCAGCTCTGTCCTTCATTTATGGGACCACGGATTTTTCTAATCATCTTTCTTTCAAACATTCTGAGGGCCTTTATTTCTTATGAAGTCACTGCCCAAGAACAATAGGGTTCCGATTGTCTAAAATCGATATTAAGTCAATTCAAGTGTATGTTAGGTTATGACTATTTTAAAAAGCTGTCAAATGACTTGTGTTCTGCGCTAGCTACGTTTGATACACTTCATTAAGCCATTAGCTTCGGTCAGAATAATAAATTTAATCACACACATTCTTTGGAGAGATGAGCCCTTCTTGTTTGAGAAATGCGCCCATGACAACATTTCCCTCTTTTAGCAATATATTTTCAAAAATTCTTTTAGTCCCACCAAAAATAGTTCTGGAGAAGTTCTGCTGGATGTAAAACAGACAAAAACCAAAATCAAATGAATTTCTTTGGGATTTCTGGCTCTTGAACAAACAAGTATGAAGAAATCTGTCTTCTGGGATACCTTTTGAGCTCCTTACTCACTCCGTCAACAGATTTCAGGAGTCTGCATGGTCAAACACGACAAGAGACAGCCATTTCCAAATAAACTTCCATCAAAAATGGGAACATGAGATGGATAGGCGTCGTTAAACCTGAAACTGTCCTAACACTTTGATGAAAGCAGAAGTTTATTTCGATGCAGATGTGCTGAACGCCAGATACGAGGGGTGTATCCAAATGATTTAGACTGGAGCTACGATTTCGACCCGGCAGGTGGTAGCAGTCCGCTGCCTTGGTGTAATCCTAGTGTTGACCTTGACGGTCATGTGGCCGAGAGATGGCGCCACAGCGTCGTGGGAAGGACCGCGGGCAGCGCCATTTAGTCCCACAGGACAGTAACCAGTCTGACAAGCGATGGAGAGCGACTACCATGGGCAGAAATGGAAATCGTAGCTCCAGTCTAAATCATTTGGATACACCCCTCATACTTCCTGCCCAAGAGATTACCACTGATCAAAGAATCTTACTCTAAGAGCTTCTTATTAACCCAGTTACAGTTTACGTCTCAGTAGTATTACCTATTCATTCGACCTCTGGTTTAGCGACTCAGCTTGACCGCAGCATCGTCCTGCCTGCTTTCATTCTACCCCCTTCCTCTCAGCCAAGTCAGTTTCTACGACACTACACCCCTGAATAAGCAGTAGGAACCTCTGAAACGTCAGTCAGTTTCTACGACACTACACGGCTCAGCATCCTCAAGATCGCATTATTTTGAAAGGAAATGATTCACTTCCTAATGCTTTTCGAAACTAACAGTTTGTGATTATACAGTCCTGAACAAACAAACAAAGAAACAAACCATCGATTTTCCTTGTTATTGAAATATGCGACGTCGGATAAGTAGCATCTCCTGTTAGAATCTCTACCGATGACATAAATCGTGTCGTCGCTCACTTCTGCGTTTAAGTCACATGAATAGAAGTTCATACCATGGATCTCGGTCCACTTGTCTCCTGCAGGGTCATACTTTTCGGTTATGAGCTCGTATGTCTTGTCGCGCCCTTCTGCACACACACACATAGATCAAATCATATAAAAAAGCTGCCAAACGAAACTTAATCTAACCCCATTCAGCGGGGCCCTTCTTGATAATTATTACTGTGTCACCTGGCCACGAAATGTTTGGCCTATATAGAAAAATAGTTTAACTGATAAAATTTTATATAAACAGCACAAAGCGCTTATATTAATGCATAATGGAAATGATGGTGCGTTACATCTTCTGTTACACGAATTTTATTAAATTTGGTACCAGAGATGTACGATACGAGCTGCCAAGCGGTGTTCTACATTTATAATATAATGTGTTATTTACATGACATTATTAACTGTCTCAAAAACATATACAATCTGTATTATATGAGATCCATTTCATAGTTTGATGGTTGTTTGCTTTCACTCCTAGTGTACACTACAAAGGCAGAAGACGATGTACAGAGACAGCTTACAAGATCAGAAGAAACCAGCACACACTCAGAACTTCAAGCCGTTGCAGTCTGTGAAATAACCTAGCGCGTAGCACAGATAAAAGAAATAGATAATGAAAGAAAATGGGACGGCCAACTTCGTACAAGTAGTATTGGTAATAATAGCAGTTGTTGCAGTCTAGAAGTATTAGTAGTACTAGTAGTAGTATAAGGTTAGGTTGGGTAAATTTAGATTACGTTTCGACACGTTTCATCCTTACAGATTTGAATTGATTTCTGCAAGGTTTGGAATCATGGTGATGATAGTACTACTAGTAGTAGTAGTGGTAGTAGCAGCAGCAGTAATGGTAGTAGTAGTACCAATAGCGGTAGTAAAGACGACACACACGGCTTCACTGTCCGATGCAATCTTTACTTTTCGATGTCGCTAATGTTTCAGAAGAAATGTGTATTTTGAGGTCTAGAGTCTTTAATACGCTCCTTCCGAAATCCTATAGTTCGAAACGAATTTCAGTAGCGAACATCCATTGCTCGTTCCGATAGTGTGTGCCAAAGTGTGAGCTATTGTGCGAGATGTCACTTTTCGACGATTCACGCGTAAACTGACATCACTCCGTATCTCTACAATTTTATAAGACTCCATTTTGCTTACGTCACTGACAAGACTTCCTACACTCATGTTCACTGCTCAATGCGCAATGTAGATTTCTAAGTAACGGCAGAAATTAACGTTCCGAATATTTCCGTGTGACCGCCTCACGAGCAGAAATGTCTTATACGGCCCTTTCGAAATGCTGTAGTTCGAAGGGTATTTATGTAGCAACTATTCGCTCACGAACATCACACCGCGATTTAAGAATCAATACTGACAGCACTTCTCTTGCAGCCTTGGACACTGATTATCCGAATTTTCGACTTACAAGGGAATGGTCCGGTTGGTCATGCCGAAACCTCACTTGAAATTTAGCTCGTCCACAGAGCCCATCTAGTAATTATTGTACACAAAATTTCAGCTGCTGATACGCTGTGCAAGGGTGCGAAAAAATTGCTCAAATTTCGAATGTACGCTTAAAATTCGCGCACGCGTCTGACTGTTTTCACCGGTACATTGCAGCGCAGAGCATTTTTAAATAATATAATAATAATATTCCGTGGCGTAACAGCCCTCTGAGAGCCAAAGGCGACCAGGAAATGAAATTGTAAAATTTTCTTCTTGCCTCTTTTCATTCCTTTTAAATTAATTTCCTTCTTATAGAGAAAATATTTAATATTAATTTAAGATTTTTACAGTTAGGATGGAATGCAACTAAATTATATCCCCGAGTAATTCTCTTTGTATTATTTTTAACTAAAAAGAATGTGTAAATATAGAACGACAACGATCAGCCTTTATATCAACACCTGCGTGTACAACAATGTAATAAGAAGTATTGGAATTTCTAAACCACACCTGCAACAATTGACAGAGCATGCCGCAAGGGTCATTTCTCATTTCCTTGTATTTTTCTTTTTGCTGTATGTGTGTGTGTGTGTGTGTGTGTGTGTGTGTGTGTGTGTGTGTGTGTGTGTGTGTGTGTGTGTGTGTGAATATGCTTTGCATCTTTGCTGTGGTATGACTATTTGTAGTCTTCTGTTACAGATTAATTTTCCCTTTCTTTCTCACCTGCTGTTTAATAGTAGCTGATATGACTAGCTTGTTTCTTTTTATGTTGCATATGGTAGAGTGGAACTTAAGAATTTCATTCTTAAAGTCTTGTGATCATTTATAAATTTTTTTTAAGCTGTTCTGGCCCGTCTAATGGTTTGTTTTTTACTAGTATTATTTTTATTTTGGTCTTCAACAACAGCAGCAGCAGCAGCAGCAACAGGCAAGAATATCACCTCATGCTGTAATGTTCACCAACCCTAGCATGAGACCTGGCCTACATGCCGGGGTACAAAGCCCTAAGATAACTCTTAAACAAGTACCAGAGCAACAGCAACAGTCAGTACAGAGGGCAGCACCAGCTCCTGCTCCTTCAACCAGCATGGCTGGAGATGCTTTAATTAAAGTGCCTGGTGGGCATGTGACCTCATCTGTACCCAAAACTGAAGCCAAGCGAGAGTTGAG